GCACGTCTGGGGACCTGGTGGCCCACGTGTCCCTGTGCCTGGGGTGCCCCATAGTCCCCCAGGGGGGCTGGGGCTGGGGCTGGAGCTGGGCATGGGGCAGGGGACCCTCCTATGGGTGCTGGCCTGGGCCACCAGTACAGGGGGGCTGCCGCATGCCTGCCTGCCCCACATCTCCCCCTTTGCTCCTGCACCTCTCCCTGCCCCACATCTCCTGTTGCTGCATGGCCGCGTGCACCTTCTCTGTCCTTATGTTGTCCGTCCTTATATAGTCCTATCGTCTGTCCTCCTATCGTCTGTCCTATCGTCTGTCCTATCGTCTGTCCTCCTATCGTCCGTCTTTATATTGTCCGTCCTTATATCGTCCATCCGTATGCACCCCCTGGCTTTGCTAGTGGCAAGTGTCCCCAGCTGTGCCCTATGGATCCCTGAGAAGCCCCCCAGCGCTGCCCTATAGCCCATGGTGTCCCCAGCTGTGCCCTATGGATCCCTGAGAAGCCCCCCAGCGCTGCCCTATAGCCCATGGTGTCCCCAGCTGTGCCCTATGGATCCCTGAGAAGCCCCCCAGCGCTGCCCTATAGCCCATGGTGTCCCCAGCTGTGCCCTATGGATCCCTGAGAAGCCCCCCAGCGCTGCCCTATAGCCCGTGGTGTCCCCAGCTGTGCCCTATAGATTCCTGAGAAGTTCCCCCAACGGCCTCGGCCTCCTCCTGCTTCTTCCCGGCAGCCAGGATCTCATCCCAGCAGAGGAGGAACCCAGGCAGACAGCAAGGTCCTTCACCTGGCCAGACCTCAGGATCAGAACATGCTTCTGCCCACCTTCCCTACCCACGTGGAGCATGCCAGGTGTCCCTGTCCTCCAGCCATCTCCATCCGCACCCTTTGCGCCCCTGGGGACCTTGCGTAGGATGCAAAGCACCTGCCCCGCCTGCAGTGCTGGAGATGGTGCTGGAGATGGTGCTGGAGATGGTGCTGGAGATGGTGCTGGAGATGGTGCTGGAGATGGTGCTGGAGATGGTGCTGGAGATGGTGCTGGAGATGGTGCTGGAGATGGTGCTGGAGATGGTGCTGGAGATGGTGCTGGAGATGGTGCTGGAGATGGTGCTGGAGATGGTGCTGGAGATGGTGCTGGAGATGGTGCTGGAGATGCCCCAACACAAGTTTCGCTGCCCGTGTACACGTGGCATTGGTTGCACCAGCTGAACCAGCGGGCATCTGAAACGCTTGCTCTTACCCCTGCTCCTCCATGACTCCCGGGGCCACCTTCCCTGGAGCAGGAGGCTTCCCTGAGCAACAGAGGCATCAGACAAGCCCTTTCCCTTCCCCACAAGGCGTTCCCTGCCTCCGACGGTGGCTGCTGCTCTCGGTGCAACATTTGCAAGAGGATGCTCACCCGAAATCAGCGCCCCGTGCTGAGGGGCAGTACGGGAAGTGGTTTGAAACCCAGGCAAACTCAGTACAGCAAGTTACGGCTTCATTTCTTCGAACCTTGGTGGCCATTTCTACCTTTATTCAGCCTTATTTTATTTAAACAACCGGGGCAGGGGGGCAAATTGGCAAAAGGAGCTTGCTTTGCTTTCCACCTTCCATACGAAGGTCTCCCCAGACATTTGCTGTGAGGCAAGCATTTCTGGGGGTGGTTGATACCAAGCAGCCATCACCAATCTCCATCGTCTGGCTGTGGGCTCCAGCTCACCTTCAACAAAGCCTGAAACTGAATTCATAGCTTAGTCAGAGCTTTCTTGTGGTGAACCCAAGGTTCCTCAGGTTGAATCCTAAAAGCAACCCCAAGCTGGTGCCTGTCCCAGCCATTTTTGAGCGATGAGACTCAGTTGAAGTCCTCGGGTCAACCATGGAGACCCCATCCCAGACCTGGGTGAGCCAAAGAGGAGGGAAGAATCATGAGGAAGACTGCAGCTTAAGCCGAGCAAGGAGAACAAGAGCTAGGCAAGAAGACGTGGTGTCTGGTGTCCTCTGCTCGGCAATTAATAACTGGGAGATCCTTGGCTGACCTGCTGCCAGTTGTGGTCCCAACGGACATGTCTGCAGCCTCATCGCCCACGTTTGCCCATGGGGGTGGAGAAAAGGACCTCTTGCAGATGGCCTCAGCAGGTTTGGGCCGAATTCCTGCTTCACATCTGAACGAGATAGTAGCTGAAAGTGGAAGAGGCTGCTCTCCTTCCCCACCAAGAGCACCTGCTGCCTGTCCCAAGCCTCTGAGATGCTCCCGAAGGGTTGCTGTGCTGGTGCCCGTGCCTGATCTGCTGGTCTCAGCCCCCTCAGTGGGGCCAGACCTGACTCTGCTCCTCATTAAGGCGACGGGCCATTTGATGCTCATCCATTTTCTCGTCCGTTGGCTACGGAGTCAGCATCGCGTATGAGCAGACGCACTCGCTGGGGCGAAACTAAGACCCTACAACCAAGCCCTGCAACTCCCCCAGCCCTCCCCGTCCCCCTTCTGATGTCCTCTTGAGCGGTGGACCCATGGGATGTCACCCACGGCAGCTGCAGCCACAGGATGTTTGCTGGTCACCAAGGATCAAGCTGAAAGCAGAAGATTCAGTTCCCCTTCATCCACCGGACTCCATGTGATGCAAGAGCCGCCGGGGAGCTGAGGGACAGAGCAGCGCAGAAAGCCGGGGGATGGAGCAGCGCGGAAAGCGTCCTCTCCCCGCTGCCTTCATCAGGTCTTCAGCGTATTTCTTCTCCAGCTGGAGATGGTGGACCTCATCGCAGCCTCTGCCAAGCCTACCTCTTCCCGCACGCCTGCCAGGCTGGGAGCAGCTTCTCCAAAAGTCCTTTGCTGTCGGCTGGGCACTCTGTGGGTGACAGACTATCCGCCCATGCTGGGCTCAGGGCTGCAGAGATCCTCCTCGTCCTAGCAGGGCTGTGTGGTGAGTGCTCTCGCATTTCCCCCCGTATCCCCCCCCTCCCCGGTGCTGGTTGCACGCCGCATTGCGGGACACGGCATGCCAGAGTGCTGCCGCTCCTCTTTGTTTCTGGGTGCTTTGATTGTGGTTGCTGCAAATTTGTAAGGTGCAGGCTTAGAGCAACACCCACGGTTTCATGGTTAAGGTGCATGTGTAGACCAACACCGACGGTTTCATGGTTAAGGTGCATGTGTAGACCAACACCCACGGTTTCATGGTTAAGGTGCAGGCTTAGACCAACAGCCACGGTTTCATGGTTAAGGTGCATGTGTAGACCAACACCCACGGTTTCATGGTTAAGGTGCAGGCTTAGACCAACAGCCACGGTTTCATGGTTAAGGTGCATGTGTAGACCAACACCGACGGTTTCATGGTTAAGGTGCATGTGTAGACCAACACCGACGGTTTCATGGTTAAGGTGCATGTGTAGACCAACACCGACGGTTTCATGGTTAAGGTGCATGTGTAGACCAACACCGACGGTTTCATGGTTAAGGTGCATGTGTAGACCAACACCCACGGTTTCATGGTTAAGGTGCAGGCTTAGACCAACAGCCACGGTTTCATGGTTAAGGTGCATGTGTAGACCAACACCCACGGTTTCATGGTTAAGGTGCAGGCTTAGACCAACAGCCACGGTTTCATGGTTAAGGTGCATGTGTAGACCAACACCGACGGTTTCATGGTTAAGGTGCATGTGTAGACCAACACCGACGGTTTCATGGTTAAGGTGCATGTGTAGACCAACACCGACGGTTTCATGGTTAAGGTGCATGTGTAGACCAACACCGACGGTTTCATGGTTAAGGTGCATGTGTAGACCAACACCGACGGTTTCATGGTTAAGGTGCATGTGTAGACCAACACCCACGGTTTCATGGTTAAGGTGCAGGCTTAGACCAACAGCCACGGTTTCATGGTTAAGGTGCATGTGTAGACCAACACCCACGGTTTCATGGTTAAGGTGCATGTGTAGACCAACACCGACGGTTTCATGGTTAAGGTGCATGTGTAGACCAACACCCACGGTTTCATGGTTAAGGTGCATGTGTAGACCAACACCGACGGTTTCATGGTTAAGGTGCATGTGTAGACCAACACCCACGGTTTCATGGTTAAGGTGCAGGCTTAGACCAACAGCCACGGTTTCATGGTTAAGGTGCATGTGTAGACCAACACCGACGGTTTCATGGTTAAGGTGCATGTGTAGACCAACACCGACGGTTTCATGGTTAAGGTGCATGTGTAGACCAACACCCACGGTTTCATGGTTAAGGTGCAGGCTTAGACCAACAGCCACGGTTTCATGGTTAAGGTGCATGTGTAGACCAACACCCACGGTTTCATGGTTAAGGTGCAGGCTTAGACCAACAGCCACGGTTTCATGGTTAAGGTGCATGTGTAGACCAACACCCACGGTTTCATGGTTAAGGTGCATGTGTAGACCAACACCCACGGTTTCATGGTTAAGGTGCAGGCTTAGACCAACAGCCACGGTTTCATGGTTAAGGTGCATGTGTAGACCAACACCGACGGTTTCATGGTTAAGGTGCATGTGTAGACCAACACCGACGGTTTCATGGTTAAGGTGCATGTGTAGACCAACACCCACGGTTTCATGGTTAAGGTGCAGGCTTAGACCAACAGCCACGGTTTCATGGTTAAGGTGCATGTGTAGACCAACACCGACGGTTTCATGGTTAAGGTGCATGTGTAGACCAACACCCACGGTTTCATGGTTAAGGTGCATGTGTAGACCAACACCGACGGTTTCATGGTTAAGGTGCATGTGTAGACCAACACCGACGGTTTCATGGTTAAGGTGCATGTGTAGACCAACACCGACGGTTTCATGGTTAAGGTGCATGTGTAGACCAACACCCACGGTTTCATGGTTAAGGTGCAGGCTTAGACCAACAGCCACGGTTTCATGGTTAAGGTGCATGTGTAGACCAACACCGACGGTTTCATGGTTAAGGTGCATGTGTAGACCAACACCGACGGTTTCATGGTTAAGGTGCATGTGTAGACCAACACCGACGGTTTCATGGTTAAGGTGCATGTGTAGACCAACACCCACGGTTTCATGGTTAAGGTGCAGGCTTAGACCAACAGCCACGGTTTCATGGTTAAGGTGCATGTGTAGACCAACACCGACGGTTTCATGGTTAAGGTGCATGTGTAGACCAACACCGACGGTTTCATGGTTAAGGTGCATGTGTAGACCAACACCCACGGTTTCATGGTTAAGGTGCATGTGTAGACCAACACCGACGGTTTCATGGTTAAGGTGCATGTGTAGACCAACACCGACGGTTTCATGGTTAAGGTGCATGTGTAGACCAACACCGACGGTTTCATGGTTAAGGTGCATGTGTAGACCAACACCGACGGTTTCATGGTTAAGGTGCATGTGTAGACCAACACCCACGGTTTCATGGTTAAGGTGCAGGCTTAGACCAACAGCCACGGTTTCATGGTTAAGGTGCATGTGTAGACCAACACCCATGGTTTCATGGCTTCGTAAGGCGTGTAGACCAACACCCACGGTTTCATGGTTAAGGTGCATGTGTAGACCAACACCCACGGTTTCATGGTTAAGGTGCATGTGTAGACCAACACCCACGGTTTCATGGTTAAGGTGCATGTGTAGACCAACACCCACGGTTTCATGGTTAAGGTGCATGTGTAGACCAACACCCACGGTTTCATGGTTAAGGTGCATGTGTAGACCAACACCCACGGTTTCATGGTTAAGGTGCATGTGTAGACCAACACCCACGGTTTCATGGTTAAGGTGCATGTGTAGACCAACACCCACGGTTTCATGGTTAAGGTGCATGTGTAGACCAACACCCACGGTTTCATGGTTAAGGTGCATGTGTAGACCAACACCCACGGTTTCATGGTTAAGGTGCATGTGTAGACCAACACCCACGGTTTCATGGTTAAGGTGCATGTGTAGACCAACACCCACGGTTTCATGGTTAAGGTGCATGTGTAGACCAACACCCACGGTTTCATGGTTAAGGTGCATGTGTAGACCAACACCCACGGTTTCATGGTTAAGGTGCATGTGTAGACCAACACCCACGGTTTCATGGTTAAGGTGCATGTGTAGACCAACACCCACGGTTTCATGGTTAAGGTGCATGTGTAGACCAACACCCACGGTTTCATGGTTAAGGTGCATGTGTAGACCAACACCCACGGTTTCATGGTTAAGGTGCATGTGTAGACCAACACCCACGGTTTCATGGTTAAGGTGCATGTGTAGACCAACACCCACGGTTTCATGGTTAAGGTGCATGTGTAGACCAACACCCACGGTTTCATGGTTAAGGTGCATGTGTAGACCAACACCCACGGTTTCATGGTTAAGGTGCATGTGTAGACCAACACCCACGGTTTCATGGTTAAGGTGCATGTGTAGACCAACACCCACGGTTTCATGGTTAAGGTGCATGTGTAGACCAACACCCACGGTTTCATGGTTAAGGTGCATGTGTAGACCAACACCCACGGTTTCATGGTTAAGGTGCATGTGTAGACCAACACCCACGGTTTCATGGTTAAGGTGCATGTGTAGACCAACACCCACGGTTTCATGGTTAAGGTGCATGTGTAGACCAACACCCACGGTTTCATGGTTAAGGTGCATGTGTAGACCAGCTCGGTTGCCGACTGAGGTTAAACCACGACATGGGGTCAAGGCTGTTCATCCAGCAAAGCCAGGTTAGAGCTGTGGGTGCAGAGTCCCTGGCACCTTGTGCTCCGGCTGCACAGCCTTGCTCACAATCACTCCCACAAAGAGCCTGCGACTCAGTTACCCGTGCTGGTGTTGTGCTTAGGGAGTTCATCCGGCAAGCTGTGCAGAGTCAAGCACTGAAAAAGCAATTAGCAAAACGTCTTAATGTATTTTGGCCTTCCTGGTTTTAAGGGACTGCATTCTCAGCTGGAAAAGCCTGGAGTTTGCTCAAGGGCCAGCTGCCATGTGTCCCCCTGAAAATAATTATAATAAAATTATAATTGTTCATGTCTTTCTCTCTCGCTTGCTGGTTCTTCCCCATTCCTTTTGGCCCACAAGTGTCAAGATGCTTTCCCAGCTGCTGCCTAGCCTCTTCTTTTGCATTATTTCCCATTAACATCTCCTTCCCTTTGCTCTCTGTCATCACCAGCGTCAGGTCCCGCCGACGTAAGGCTGGTGAATGGCCCCGACTCCTGCCCGGGCCGGCTGGAGGTGTTTTACAGTGGCACCTGGGGACGGTGTGCGATGACCACAAGGGAGCCCGCGTGGTCTGCCGGCAGCTGGGCTGCGGGTCAGTGCTGTCGGCTGTTGGCGGGGCTCACTACGGGCGAGGAGCAGACCCCATCCGGCTGGCCAACGTACACTGCGCCGGGATGGAGGCCACCCTTTCTGAGTGCTGGGCACGGCCCTGGGGAGCCCACAGCTGCGGGCACGGGGAAGACGCCAGCGTCTTGTGCTCAGGTGAGGAACACGCATCCACCATGGCTTGCATCAGCCGCTGTGGACAACCAAAGGGTTAAACAGCAGGCAGGACAACCGTCTTGCCCCTTGCTATTGACTGGTTGCCCCTTCTTGTTGACTGATTGCCCCTTGCTGTTGGCTGGGTGTCCTCTGTACAGTGAGTGTAGGCACCCAGCTCACAGACAGACACGTCCCTATGGCCACTGGCAGGTAGGACCCTTAATTTTGAGCTGGATCTGTCCCCTAAGGTAGGCAGAATTACTCCCTCCCTTCCTAATTTTGTGGAGAATTAGCCTCTTCACACTATTGCTCCAGGCAATTTCCAAATGCTGTTCTCGCCTTCCAAAGCTCTCCGCATCTCCTGGCATCGAGGCTGCAGCTCCCTGGCCATTTCTCAGCCCAACCACCTCCTGGCTTTACGGGGATGAATCCCTTCGTGGGCACAGCCTGTTGGATGCCATCCGGGCTTGCTGGGCAGGAGACCCTGCTCCTAAGCATTGCCGGCTATGGCATGCCCAGCAAAATCTCTGACCGTTTGCTCCCCGGGGGTGTTTGCAGGGGCACCCGCTCCAGGTTCGACCCGTACCAGGCTGGCGAATGGCTCAAGTTTCTGCTCTGGCAGAGTTGAAGTCCTCCACGATGGCGAATGGGACACCGTGTGCGACGACAGCTGGAGCCTGATGGACGCCGAAGTGGTGTGCAGGGAGGTGGGTTGCGGCCGGGCACCGTCAGCTCAGTTCGGGGCTGCCTTCGGGCAGGGGTCGGGGCCCGTCTGGCTGGATGAAGTGACCTGTGCTGGGACGGAGGCTGCCCTTTCTTCTGTGCCAGGCCAGGTCCTGGGGGAGCCATAACTGCAACCACGGAGAGGATGCTGGCGTTGAATGCACAGGTAGCTCTTGACTCCTGCCCCGTCGGGGCTGGCACTCAGGCTATCGTAGTCTTTTGTTTTGTTTTGTTTTTTGAGGGAGGGGTAGAGAAAAGAGCAGAAGACCTTTGAAATGGCCCTGGATGTAGATGTCTCCATTGCAGCCCTGCCAATGGAGGCAGGAAGAATCCCCTGATGGGCGGGTGTGTGCTGGGGAAGGGCAGAGGGAGCTTCAGAGGGGGTGTCCATCCAGATGCCACCTGCCAGGGAGGGTGATGAGTTCGGGGAGGTGCTGAGCGCCTGAGCAGAGCCTGCTTTTCTCATTTTGGGTGGGCAACCTCCTCACTCTTCAGCCACGAGGTTCTGGGATGATTGAAGGACTGGGCAGCTCCAGCCCTGTCACCTCTCCTGGGACATCCAGATGTTTTTGGCACTTGTCTCTTTTCAGAACCGACTCGGGTCCGGCTGGTGAATGGCTCCAGCTGCTGCTCAGGGCGAGTCGAGGTCCACCACAACCAGCAGTGGGGGACGGTGTGCGATGACAGCTGGGACCTGAGTGATGCTGAGGTGGTCTGCTGGCAGCTGGGCTGCGGGCTGGCCATGTCAGCCCCTGGCAGGGCTCCGTTTGGGTGAGGACACGGTCCCATCTGGCTGGATGAAGTGAACTGCACAGGGACAGAAGGTGCCATCACTGAATGCAGCTTCAAGCCCTGGGGAGCCCATAACTGCAACCATGGTGAAGATGCGGGTGTCGTGTGCTCAGGTAAGCCTGGTCCAGGTCATGGTTTCAGGGAGAAGTTTTTCTGTAGGTATGCTTGCATCTAATTTCAGTTTCCTTCCCTCTCTGCACACGTTTTTTTTCCTTTGGGCACAACGCCATTGCAAGCAACAGTCAAGAATGCTTGGGAGGTGAGGTAGCTCTGCTTCTGTAGGCATCATATCAATGGACTATCTGGATGCACTCCTGCCCATTTGTGGTAATCCTCTGTCTGACACCTTAAAATGTCGGTTCCCAAGTGGCTTGCCACATCCATCACGCGCACCTGCTCTGGATGTTGAAGTGTCTGCGGTCAGAGGAGGCATTTGGCCATCGATGCTTGCCATGCATGGCTGCAGGCTTCTCCATCTCTATGTCCCAAGCTGCTTCTGGATCTCTAGAGGTAGTCCAAGATGGAAAGATATCCCTCCCATCCCTCCAGCTTGCAACGGGATGCCAGCCCTGTCTTTCCAGAAGACAAAACCTGGGTGACTTCAGGGAATATTTGCAAGGAGCTACAGTAGAGCAGAGCAAACAGAGAAGCAGCGTGGAAAGACTCTCCTCCTTGACGAAGCCAAGCCAGTCCAGCCTTCATTTGGCTAGAATAAATAAATGCAGGTTTTTAAAGTCTTTCCTTGTTAGATATGTTCTCCGAGGGAAGATGTAGTCACCCTAGCAGACCTTCGAAGCACGTTCATGGTTTGGACATGGATGTCGAAGAGTCTTCTTGGCATTGCCCAAGGGAAACGCTCTCTGTGAGGCATCCCACGGTGTTTTTACCTTCTCCTAAATACAACCAGGTCTTTCTGTTGCTTCCAACTGAAGATGCTGATGTGGACGGGGGAAGCATGATTATGCATTCATACCTTGTATGGTTGCACGTCGTCGCCAACGCCAGCAGAGCGTCTACTTCAGAGCACTGAGGTGCACTATACCCTGTTTATTCGTTTGTCTCATTCCCCCTTTAGATCCCACGGAGCTACGGCTGGTGAATGGCTTGAATCACTGCGCTGGGCGCCTCGAAGTGCTTCACGACCAGCAGTGGGGGTCCGTGTGTGACAACGGCTGGGACATGGAGGGTGCCGAAGTGGCGTGCCGGCAGCTGGGCTGCGGCACTCCAGTCTCCGCTCCAGGCTGGGCTAGGTTTGGCAGGGGTTACGACCCCATCTGGCTGGAAACAGTCAGCTGCTGGGGGACGGGGGCTGCCCTCACCGAGGGCACAGCTGCCACCACGACCCCATCTGGCTGGAAACAGTCAGCTGCCGGGGGACGGGGGCTGCCCTCACCGAGTGCAGATACCCAGGTGTGGGGCATCCACAGCTGCCACCACGGGGAAGACGCCGCTGTGGTGTGCTCAGGTAACCCCCCCACCGCATTCCTCTCACGTGTCCGTAGGAAGAGCTGTGCCACCACTGAGCCATAGCTCCCTTTCCTCCAGAGGGCAAGGGAATGATAATTCCCTTGATACTAATGATAATAATGGTAATAATGGTAATAAGGGCAATGGATGCAAGGGGGATCCCATCAGTGCTGCTTCTCCCATGTTCCCTGGCTCATTTTCAGCCCAAGTGGACAACCGCAGAGCATCTCCATGGTGTGAATGACCATGCTGGGTCCCACGGGAATCCCCGTTTCATGAAGGTGTCGTGTCAGGGAGCCACGAGTAGAGGGAACCACAGTCCTGTGTGAGATCCCATGCCCAGGACCATCTCCACCAGCCCTTCCTGAAGGGTTGTTGGTGTCCTTCTTTGTTCCAGACCCAATGGCGCTTCGGCTGGTGGACGGCCCACACTGTTGCACCAGAAGGGTCGAGGTGCTTCATCAGCAGCAGTGGGGGACAGTGTGTGATGATGGCTGGGACCTGCACGATGCCGAGGTGGTGTGCTGGCAGCTGGGCTGCGGGGCGGCGGTCGCAGCCCCGGGCTCGGCTTGCTTTGGCCGGGGACGTGATCCCATCTGGCTGGATGAGGTGAACTGCACAGGGACCGAGTCCGCCCTCTCCAAATGCGGGGCCAAGCCGAAAGGAATCCACAAGTGCCACCATGGAGAAGATGCTGGTGCGGTGTGCTCAAGTAGCTGCTGTTCCTCTGCTGATAAGCTCCTGGGTACCAACACTGCAGGAGCTCCAGGACCAGTTTTCCGTGCTTATCTCTGATGTTCTTTCCACATGGGAATCCTCAAATCTCTAACTCTGAGTCAAGACAAATGCTGAACATCTGGGGATTCATCCTCCATCTCACATCCAACACTTGCTTTCTACGTCACTAGGTCCACCACCACAAGGCGACACCTCTCTATCTTTCCGTTTCAGACCCTACCGAGGTCCGGCTGGTGAACGGCTCAAATCGCTGCTCTGGGAGAGTTGAGGTGCTGCACAACCAGCGATGGGGAAGTGTGTGCGATGACGGCTGGGACCTGGACAACGCAGAAGTGGTGTGCCGGCAGCTGGGCTGTGGGACGGCTGTAGCCGCTCCACCCAGAGCTCAGTTTGGGATGGGGTACGAGCCCATCTGGCCGGATGATGTGAACTGCACCGGCACTGAGGTTGCCCTCTCCGAGTGCAGGGCCAGACCACGGGGAGAGAGTAACTGCGACCACCGAGAAGATGCCAGCGTGGTGTGCCTGGGGAAGCCACCTCATACTCCGTCGTGGTGGAGCTCTGGAAGGAGCAACGTTGGCACATGGATAACTCAGTGGAGAAACACCTCCGCTCTGCTCACGTTAAGCCTCTTGCCTCTGTATAGGAACCAATTTCAGGTTGTCTGAGAGCAGCAGCTCCCCTCGGCCACTGTGAGGACTCTCTCCCAGGAGAACGAGCGTCAGTCCCCAAGCACCACCTTGCTCTCCCCTATAAGCCCTTAACTGGTCCCTCAACTCTACTGCTATGAGCATCCTTTCCTTTTTCATACGTGCATGGTGCTATCGTGACACGCATTGTCACCATACCGTAAAGTCCATTGAACCTCCCTTCTACCTTGGGTCCATCTTGTCTGGTTGGACTGCCAGGACACCAGCATCTAGTGCCGCTTGCGATGCGCTGGCCTCCTGCCACCACTCCAGGTCGGGGTGGATCTCCCATTCAGCCCTGTGTCACGGCTGTCCCCTCCTCCTGGGTTTCTTGGATGCCTGAAGGCACTTAAAATGGGATCAGATGCCTGTTTATGCCGGTGACAGTTTCCACATCACCTTGCAGGTGGCCACCATTTGAGGACCCATCTTCCAATGCATGGGCAAGAAACACGTACGCGTTTGAACCTCCATATGTCTTTCATAATTCCAGGACCAGCTCAGGTCTGGCTGGTGAACGGCTCCAGCCGTTGCTCCGGGAGGGTCGAGGTGCTTCATAACCAGCAGTGGGGGACGGTATGTGACAACGGCTGGGACCTGAGCGATGGCGAGGTGGTGTGCTGGCAGATGGGCTGCGGGGTGGCTGTGTCAGCTCCAGGCTTGGCTCGCTTTGGGTCAGGGTCCAACCACATCTGGCTGGGTGATGTTGAGTGCACGGGGGCAGAAGCTACCCTCTCCGAATGCAGGTCCAGGATGGGGGAACCCATCAATTGCAACCATGGGGAAGATGCTGGTGGTGTGTGCTCAGGTAATTACTATTTTTTTTTTTTTTTTTGCATGGCATTATTCCAGGGGGGTGTTGAGCTGTGTGGCTGGAAAGGACGAGGGTGACTTTGCTGGTGACACGGTCTCCTCTGAGCCTAGGTAGCACCAAACCCCACGGAAGAGCTGAGGTCACTCTTCTGCAGAGGTCTGTCCACCTTGTTCGGTGACTGGTCTTGCTGATGAAACCCCGGGGGTGTGGAGGACCTGAGCAACCTGAGAAATGCTGAGCACGAGAATCTGAGCAAAGCAATGAGAGACGCACAACCAAGCCTTCAAGGGGATGGGAAGAAAGAGGCTTTACTTAGGAACCTAGAGGGTGAGATGTAGAGTTTGTTGCAATCCAGAAAACCACCAAAAGCTGCTGGATTGAGAGCAGGGCAGGAGGAAGGGACCCATCGTACAAAGATGCCAGTGGTCGGGAAGGGAGGAGTTTTACAAATTCCACTGCTTTTATCCTTTTCCAGCAAGCATGTCTGAATTTTCTCTATTTCGGCAGTTTTCTTCTAGCTGATGTTAATTAAAGCCTAGCTTTAAATATCCAGCGTCCCTCTGGTGTTTGGGGATGTTCAGTATAACGGCAGGACCAAGCATGTCCTTCTCAAAGGTCCAGGTTGCCAATGGCATAAAAGGAGCAAAAATGGGCAATGTGCATTAGCCACTATAAGCAGCGCAGGCGTGGAAGGAGACCTCCAAAAAGGGTGTCTGCCTCGTCCCGTTTCAGACCCCGCGGTGTTGCGGCTCAAGCCTCTGTGCTGGGAGAGTTGAAGTGCTCCACAGGCATCAGTGGGGGACCGTGTGCGATGACAGCTGGGATGAAGAGGACGCCGCAGTCGTGTGCCGGCAGCTGGGCTGCGGGACGGTGGTCTTGGCCCCTGGTGCGGCTTGGTTTGGGCAAGGGCGCAATGCCATCTGGCTGGACGACGTGAACTGCACAGGGAAGGAGGACACCCTCTCGGAATGCCTGGCCAGGCCATGGGGGACACACAGCTGTGACCATGGGGAAGACGCCGGTGTGGTGTGCTCAGGTAACGTGGCCACCATCAGTTTGGAAAATGGTCTGGGCATGCCCCAACCCTGGAAAAATTCAAGGTCAGGTTGGACGGGGCTCTGAGCAACCTGATCTTATTGAAGATGTCCCTGCTCATTGCAGAGGGGTTGGACTAGATGACCTAGGGTCTAGAGAACAAGTCTTAGGAGGAGTGGCTGAGGGAACTGGGACTGTTTAGCCTGGAGAAAAGGAGGCTGAGGGGAGACCTCATCGCTCTCTACAACTACCTGAAAGGAGGTTGTAGCGAGGGG